ATATATACACACACATATATATACATACATATTCTTGCCTTCGAATTCTGTCATTGACAAAATCTTGGATTTATTTTTTTCAATATGATATTATTTTTCTTGTTTTCTATAAATGTTTATTTGTTCTATCGGGTACATTTTTGTTTCTTGAATTCCAGTCTCATTCTTGAAAAAAACTTGGATTTTTTTCCTTTCATTTTTGTTCAGATACTATTATTTTCTTGTTCTAAATGGTTTTTATTATTTTCTCTAAATGTTTATTCACTTTTTGTTCCATCTGGTAGTGTTCATTTTTTTTTTCCCTTGCATTCGAATACCATTCTTTACCCGAAAAAAAGGATTTTTTTTCCTTTTATTTTCTTTCCGATATCATCTTCTTGTTCTAAATGGTTTTCCATTTTTTTAAATAAATGCTTATCATACATTATTATGTTTCTTTATTCAGTTTTCTTACATCATCTTTTTTATTTTTTGGCAAAAGGGTAAGAGAAAAATTGTTGACAAGTAAAGAAACATTATACTTTAAGACAAAAAAAAATGAAAAAAATAATAATTTTAGCATGAATATATGCCGGATGAGTTTTCGAACCTTCAATTTTTTTTGTTTTGTTTACCCTAAAATATTTGTCTCACATTAACAATATTTTTCATATATTTTGTTTCTTCCAAGCTTTGTTTGCTGCTTTTTGTACCATTTAATAGCAATTTATTGCTCACTGTTACTTGCACTGTTTTGAAGATCTTGTTCCAACTAGATTCTTCAACCCATGACTTTGACAACCTTTGACTTCTCTAACCCTAGTTTTGATCAACAAAAAGTTCTTACAGTTCCTTCCAAAAAGTTCTTACATGTCACTGACAAAGTCAAAAGCCATATACTGCAAGCACCAATGCATGTCAAACATTCTCCCCCTTCTCTTCAATCTGTAATCTGACAGATGTTTTCCAAAACCTCATTCCTCAGTTCTCAAGCCTGTAATCACTATGTTCTGTTCACAGCATGGTGTCAAAACTTGTTCCTTAAGCTTGTCCAGAGAAAAGCTGATACATCAGTTCTCACAGCACAACAAAGAAAGCAAGTAGAAATTAAACAGGATTTAAGCCTGCAACAAAAAAATAAGAATAAAAGAGAGAGAAAAGAAAAGATAATTCTGCACTAAAAGTTAAATGGTGGCAGATACTTCAAGCAAGCCAATAAATGCAAAGTTCAGCGATCACAACTGATCTCTGAAGTCTTCTCTGCAAAACAACAGGATTCACAAGATGAACAGTGCAGAATCTAAGCAGGTTTGACAAGGGAAGTGTTGTGGCTGAGGTTACAAGCCCAAGAGGACACCATTGCATCATGCACAGATGCTGTCTGGCACATCTCTTTTAGCTCACTGGCCAAGAAGGACAACAGGCTTTAATCAGTAGAAAGTTATGCCATCTAATTAGCTGGAAGAGGAGGTACAGAGGACAAATTTTGGAAGGAGCAGCACCAATCAATCCCCTCAATGATTAAGAAAAGCCAAACTACATGACAAACAGATTTTAAGAAGGCCAACCACCGCCTATCAGTCTGTCTGTCTGTCAAGTTAATTAGGCCAAAAAGGTTAAGATGGCATCTTAAAAAGCTGCATTCATTCAAGATATAAGAAATCCTCCAGAGCATGATCCTAACATGAAGCCAGGGAATAACATTTCATAGCAATTCAACAATGTTACTGGAATCAGTGATGCTGGAGTCAGTCTGGCTTGATTAATGATCACATATACAACAACGAATTTAATATAACCAAAACAAAGAGTTGCTCCGCATCGATCTATACTAAAATCAAAGTTGTAATCCCTCCGATGTTCAATGGCTCAAATCAGTAATCAACAAGAATGAAATAATAAAATATTTCATGAAATATTCTCTAGGTATTTTGGATCAGGTTTTATCTCCTCGCTACTGACCGTATCGTAGAACCCGAACCACTATCAGAAAAAAATATTTCCGGTATCAGCATGATAAGATGATCCTATCATTCATGCTTTGTGTATAAAGCTGCTTTCCAGTGCAAGTGTAGCCATTAAGCTCCAAGTTGCCCTTCTGTTGTCATAGATCTCAGCAAGGATTTTAGAATCAACCTCAACAAGGGGTTTGATCCCAAGATATGCAAATTTTAGCTGAGCAAATTCGAGTTTTTATTTTTCTTTGCACATGCAATCTGATAAAAGTGGAGGGTTCAAGAACAACCTCAAATTTTACAGGTACATAACTATCAGCCACCTTCAAGCAAGTTCACATGATCCAAGACAGGATATAACTTTGACTGGTCCCAAAAGGAATGATGGATTCAGCTCCCATTCTTCAACTCTGTTACAATCTGAAGGAAGAACACAAAAGAATTGGTCAGTGGATAGAGCAGACTGTAGTCAGGATATACCGCTGAGCCTCACACAAGGATAGGAGCTTTCAACATGAACATCTACTTGATTCTTTCGGACGACAACTTCAGTGATACAGAGCAGGAAATGCGACTACAATGTTCAGAGGTATCCATTTATATACACCGGTAACATATGTGAAATCTTTCGCATACCGCCATCAAGCAATCACATTGGCGTTCTCATCCCAATTGGTGGATCGATTCCTCGATCGCCTCCTTAGAAATGAACCACTTCCGTGCCTGTGAGACGACGCAGGATGAGATGCTGAGCTCGGCCGCGAAGAAGATGAAGCCGAACGTGACAGCCTGAAGGACGAGAAGAAATTGCGGATAGCTCGACCGATTCCTCCGCTCCCCCTCGACCGACTACTTGTCGAGGACCACGAGATCCTTCTTGGAGCTCCGCTGCTGTTGAACCCACCATCCATCTCGGTGTACACCACCGGAAACTCTCGTTCCCCGGCTCTCCTACCACCTGAGAACCTCCCCACGGCAAACCCCCCACCTGGAAGTCGCCATATCGTCAGCCCGACTGTCTCCTCCTCGTTCCCGGTAGCCGCCGCCTGCTCATCTCCTTCTGCCCCCGTCGCACCCTGTGCTTGCACGTCCGTCGGCAGCTCATGGCGGCAAACGGGGCATGAGTTCCGGAGCGAAAGCCATGGCAAGATGCAATCTTGATGATAGATGTGCTTGCAGGGCATCTCCCGGGCCTCGGTCCCAAGCTCGAACGCGTCCATGCAGATGGCGCAATGGCAGTCTCTCCCGATGTGGTCGTCGACGATCTCTACGGTAGGCATCGACTCGATGGCGGTCTTCGATGCTGGCGGGTGCTCGCACCCCCTTCCTCGACCGATGCCGTTGATCTCGATCTGGGCGAGCTGCTCGAGCAGGCGGTCGAAGCCCGAGCCCATTAGGAAATCCGAGATGCTTTCCGGCAAGGGGCGGAGGCCGGATCCGGTGCCGTCGTCGTAGTAGAGCTCGAAGCTGGTGGTGGTGGCTCGATCCGCGTCGCGGGCGCCGCCCTCGGACGGGCCGCGGAGGACGATAACCGGATTAAAGTGGAAGCGGTTGCCGGCGGACGTGCGGCGGTTTCGACGGAACCTGAGCTCCGAGGAGTGGCGGGGCGCGGCGGCCGCCGCGGACCAGTCGCCGCCAAGCGCGTGAGCGTCGGTGGAGGGCACCCGGCGCCGGCGGGGCTCAGCGGCGGGGAAAAGGCGGGGAGGAGGGCTGCCCACCTCCTCGAGGAAGCCGCCGTCGCAGTTGGGGCAAACGATAGCATCCTGCGGCCACACCCGGACGAATCGGCTACATCGATAGCACCAGTAGGACGACGCCATCGCCATGGAACAAGGCACCGAAACGTATACGAACAGCCACAAAGATCCCAACTTTCCCTCCGAGAACGAGCAAATCAGAAGCAAAAACCCCTCAAAAACCGATCTTTCGAACGAATCCCTCAAAATAACTATTCAAACGACTCTCCGACCCTAAAAAAACTCAAGATTTCCAGAATCGAAGGTAAAATCCCCCCCAATCCCTTCAACGATTCGTGACCAGATCCTTCCGAAGCGGAGGCAAAAACCACGTCGGGTGGAGAAGCAGGAAGAGGACGGGGAGGAACGCGGGAGAGGGAGCGAGAGGGGTAATTGGGCGCTTTATTACTGGCGACGACGCATCGATGGCGGAACCGGGTGACCGCGATTGATACTGACGCCGTCAAGGTGCACAACGTGGACCGGATGCCGCTGGGTCAAAGTGGAGAGGAGGGAGCTGAAGCCGCTTCGGAGTCAGAAGACCCGACGCAGACGGGCCCTCGTTGTCCCCTCAGCCGCCTCCATTCACGTTCCTGGAAGATGCTGCGAACGCGCACAAGCCTTTCTTTGTGCCGTTGTCATAAAAAAGCCCCCAACTTTGAGCTACTCTCTCAGCATCTCTCGTAAAGACTCCGCTTTTCCTCTCCTCCCTCCCTCCTTTCCCCACTCTTTCTTCCCCTCCGGAGCTCAGACCAAGGATGGTTGACTGCACGTGAGCCATTCCCGTTGCCAGGTGTGCCCAAAATGCTCCTCGTTACACTGTTTCTTATCCTCCTCTGCTGTCGCCGCTGCAGCCCACTACCGAGACCAAAACAATGGGCTGAGAGACTTCTGTTCCATTCAGGGCCACCAGTTTGGTGCCAGAGATCTTTTCGTTGAAGTGTGAGCTTGTCATCTTCTCCATCATCCATTTGTCCTCGGACAAGCCCCATTAGAATAAGCAAGACGAAAGCAAATTGCCAAGAGCAAAAGGGTAGCACAGCATTGGCATGCCCAAAACCTGTTCCGTAGTGCCGCTTCTCTGACCTTTTCCTGTGGATCGTGCAATTTGTGGTCCGAATCGCGCATGACTCGAGACTCAACGGTGGAATGCCAGCTGATGGCTCAAGTTTATTCCCATAAACAAATCTCGTTAAGCAAAGTATTAATCCCTCATAGGAGTAAGAATGATTCTTAGCAATGGGACAAGTTGCTGGGGAACTCAATATCCAAAGCTTCTTGATCGATGAACTAAGCAACAGCAATTATAAATCTGCTACTTGCCTTCACCTCAGAATTGTCCCTAAGCAACAACATCCTGACATCTCAGAGCTGAAAGTGTTGTTGATTCACATCAGCATTTTGACAGCAAGACAAGAGTGCTCACCTTCCACAGTTCCTGAAGCCTTTGACTGAGAGTTCTTGAAGGAGAAGTATCCTCCAAATGATTAAAATAGGTTGATGGCAAGTTCCCTTCAGGGATCAGTTGCCATCCTGCTGTCACACTGAGGTCCATCACATATCTCAACTTGGTTGCTTGTATATATAATAGATATTTGTATTGGTTTTCATGGATTTTGGGTTTCCTATAAATTCTTTTTGAAATATATGTGCCCTAGACATTATTTATTTATCTGTTTATTTTATTTTATTTATTTGTTTTCTGAAGTTGGTATGGATTTGACTCTTCTAGAAGCAGACTGAGCACCAAGTAATGCGATCTACAAACTGAAGCACTGGATTGGGTGTTGCTCTAATGTAATGGATAAGAACCTGATTCAAGTGGGTCCCACTTGGGCCTCATTCTTTTATGCATGGTTGATTGTAAGATCTTCCAAAAATATTTTATTTTTATTATAGAGAAGAAGGAAAAGAAATTGCTGATGAAGTCAGCAAGCTGGCAGATTAGGATTAGGGACCTGATTAGGTAAATAATTTATTTACCTGTGAGGTTCTAGAGAATTCTTTTGTAAAGCAACATCACATCACACGTAACAGTTTGAAGATACGTCACACTTATTTGATTGATACATTTGTGGTCGCGAGTTCAAGACGTGTCATTACCTTATGATCATAGTCTAATGATTCAATGACCGATATCACAGTTTATTAATAGTCGGACAACTCGCATAATATTTATTGTAGTCTCAACTTAATGGTGATATAAGAATAAATATAGGCCTAATAGAAAGTCAATTCCAACATAAGAATAAATGACGCATATAGCAAGAGATACTATACCTATGAGTTAAGATGAAGATGCCAAGGTATTGAGCTAAGCTGTCTTAATAGCTAAGACTCTGGACAGGTCAATCTCATAGAGTCTACCGCACACCATCTTTGATTCCTCGAACGATCGGATAAACCATTTGGAATTGACCCATATACAAAATAAAGTCATTGTGCCATGAAGAGTCAAGTGACGGAAACTTCTCTCTCTCTCTCTCTCTCTCTCTTACTGGACATTCTCCAAGAAACTTCGCTGATGCCGTGCTTAGAGGAATGGAAGCACCTAAACTTATTGACAAGAAAACGTTTGATCTATCAAATGAGTTGGTGGTCTATTTACTTTGAGAACAACCCTTTTTTTTTTCTTTTTTTTTTCTTGTGTTGACTTATAAAGATGATACAGTGGTGACTCTATTTGGTAATCACCATACCAAATATTTGATTGGCGGTGATACTGTTGGGATCAAGAGATCGGCGGTAAGAGGAGGGGGGTGAATTAGTGTAGCGGTAAAATCACGTCTTCAAAAACTTTCGTATGATAAAATCTATTTACGTTGAAAATGATCGCAGAAACTTATATACGGAAGTGTAGTGACTAAGTAAAGTAGTTTGCAGTATGTAAATGGCAATAATAGAAATGTAAATCAGATTTTTAGAGTAGTTTGGTCAACATGACCTACATCCACTTTCGGCTTCCTCCTCCAACGAGGTCACCGATATCCACTAGAGGCCTTCCTTCAATATGCGAAGGTCAATCACCTTTTATACCTCTCTTCTCCTTTTCACGGGTTTAGGAGATAACCCTTACAAGCACTCACACTCCTCTTACAGAATTCTAAACTTAGAGTGGAGGAGGAAATTTCTAAAGAGATTACAGCAACGTTTTTCTACTTTTGAACTCTCTGTGCTTGTATACTTTAACCAGGGATGAGAAGGATATTTATAGGCTTCAAGTTGATTCAAACTTGGAGCCTAAAACTTTCCCATCCCGGGTTCCCCGGGCACGGGCGGTACCACCGCCCAGTGTCAGTCTGACACTGACACTGCCTTGGGCGGTACCACCGCCTGGGGTGTAGTGCTGGACGGTGCCATCACCCAGACTAACAGTACCACTGCCTGACACAGTCTCATTGGTCCCTTAACGCTTCATCTGATTCTTTGGTGCATCGTCCTCTCTTGCGGCCTATTGCCCAATCAGCCAGTTGACTCCGCAACTCCAATATCCTTGGCGCAATATCCGCTCTTCTTGGCCCGATGCACGAATCCATGGCCCGAAGCCTTCTGTCAATACGTCGACCGATCTTCTAGCTCGATGTCCAATTTTTTGACATATTTTCCCCCAGCACAATATTATTTTTCCTGCTTTAATTGTCTCATCCTGATCAAAGTATCCTACGTCACTCAAAATGCAGATTAAAACATAAACACTTATTAATTGGTTTCATCATCAAAATCTGACATTCAACATATACCATTCATCACAATCGATCATGATAGGATAATTTACTTATTAGTGAGCCTAAACAAGTGATCTAAAATGCTTAATCTACTTGTCAGTCAAACTGATTTTTTAAATTGACTTTTGAAAGTATTACAATTTAGCTAAAATTTGTTCATTGCCACTGTATATCTATATTCCATCTATATAAACATCATACCTTGAAATTAGGACTTTGAATCTCAATAATACTTTTAATCAATTTATAACACCAATTCTAATAAAATATCAAATAAATTCAATATACTATTCCAACATTTGGTGTTCTTCAAACACACAAATACGAATATGCTTAAATTTAATTAGAAATTAAAGGAATTGGGAAGTTTAATCCCTCTTCATAGATCTCAAAATTAAACATTCATTTAATGGTAGACATTAATTTTCAATCCATCCTTTACCCAAATCACAACTGGGCCGAGAAATGGAAGCCCAATTGGAAAGGATGGGTTCGACTTCAGTACTTGATTAGATCAAACCCGAACCCGGTCCGGCCCGCTACGACCCAAATCGCCATCGCCTCTCTTCTCGGTAGGGTTCTTTGGTTCTGCTTCCGGGAGAAAGGAGAAGGATTCATGGCGGGCAATGGGTTGAAGTGGGACGGATTGCTCAAGTGAAGCCTCTCCCACGCCGATGGGACTCGCGCTGCTCGGATATTGAGATATTGCTTCGGACCCTTTGCTTACGGTTGATCGTTCTTCTTCCAGTTGATTGAGATTTGCAGGGTTGGGATCGAAGTTCCCAATTTCCGAGGTTCTTGATGGCTTTAGCTACAAATAATCTTTATGTGAAGAGCTTCCGCTCGAATAATTTGTTTCTTGCTGATGAATTCATGTTTTGTTGTTGCGGCTAATCGATGTTGGGGTTGATGTTCTTGCTTCGTTGTAGGTCAGTGAGGAGGATAGGAAATGGCTCGTGGAAGCGATGCAAGCTGATGAAGGAGGATGTTCTGGAGCTGCAAGGGATCGAGTCGCCGGATGTAGTCTTGTTCGAGCTATCAGTAGGTCATTTGGACTCGGGTAGTATTGCTAGAGCTTGTTGCTTACAAGTATTAACTTGGTTTTAGATTAGCCATAGTAGGGGTCTATCATTGATTGTCCCATCTGAATTGAACCGTGATAATTGCTGAGCTGAGACATGCTTTAAATTGATTATTTTCATCTTGATTTGGGTATCTTGAAGCTGGTCACTAAAGTCTTTTTTGCTTTCCTGACCTTTTGCATGATCTAGTTGTGAGTTAATTCTAGTGAAAGTATGATCTCAAAGAGCCTAGAACTGGAAATCATGGTTGTGGAGTTATTTGGAACTTTATGAATTTGGAGTCCCACCAGGCACAATTTACTGTGTCAGGTGGGTTGATTATGAGAAGGCCAATTGTTCAGAAGACTCTGCTTATAGGACTCTTTTTAAGTTAACTTAGTGAGTCACAACTTGATGAAACCTTTAAAGTTCTGCATTGCTATCTATATACATCGAGAAGTTAAGATTACATGAATACACAAAAATAGGCTGAGGATTAAGGCAATTAACTTCTTCTAGAATAAAGCAATTTCTCTACTGATTTCTATTCACAAGACCCTAAAATTCAGTGTTCTATCTTCGAAACCTTTATGTTAGTGTTTTTAGAAAGAGAAATGGATGTAGGCTTTCAGTTAGTTTGTCAAATAAGTTATTTTTCCTGCTGATAGATAGCAAGATGAACTCGAAACATTGAACTTTTATTCTTTAAAGGTATAGTCTATATTAAAGACTAGTGAAACATTTTTCTGTTCAAGGGTATAATAACTCATTTGTTTATGAAGATTGATCTCTTGACCAAGCTATAGCTAAATCTTGGTAGATCTTAGACTGCTGAATTTCCTTTTGCCGTTTTAGGTTGTAACTGTAAATGTCATCCAGTTTCATATTCTCATTGGTGTATTGATTTCTTGCAACATCTTTTTAACCCTAAAGAAATGTTGGATGAGCTTGGAGAGCATGTTGAGTCTATTGATATGACAAATGGTAAGTGTAAATGACTTTGCATTTGCTTTCTCTTGGCTTCGTGTTTCACACATTCTGTTGAACAAATTTATTTATTTCATATTCTTCTCGAGCACGCACTTCATAATAGTTGGAAATGTAATATATTTTCAGTCAATCTGTTTTAGTTTGGCTTCTAATGTTTCCAGTGTCATGCATCTTGAACCTGTTCACCCGTATCTACGTTTAATCACACACATCAGTTGCTCTCAGTCGGATTTTAAGTAGCTTCTCATTGATTGGTTCCATTGAAGAGGATCAGAAGTGCTTGCTATCAAAAGATGATACGCTTATCACTTCGTTGTTTTGTCTGAGGTTATTCTTTGATGATGCGCATTTCCATGCTTTTCTTGTTTAAATGTGCATTAAATGCATCTGATGTAGCACTTGAGAGGAGTCCTAGATATGTGGCTGGTTTGATGATTGCCTGTCATGGATCCAACAATTTTTAATATCTCTAAACAGCCTCACAGTCTGCTGTCTGATATGGAAAATTTATAGAATAATCACTGGAGATGATAGTTTCCAAAGTGCTTCTTGTAGGCGTATATAAGCTATATCACCCTTGTTGGTCTCTGCATTTGTAACTGCATGAATTTCAATAGTTTGTGGTGTTCTAACATTTAGTTCAACTGTGTTCAAATGAGTTTTTAGGAACATGTGGATAGACTGTGATTTTCTTATAATATAAATGTTTTTTTACTGCAAAAAACTATTTTGTGATGTTTACATTCCTTGTTGGTGAGAAAGAAACAATTGAAATACTGAACCTGGAACTTGCTGCTGCTGCTGCTGTTGTTGTTGAACCTGGAACTTTGCTTCCCTTGATTTAGAATGTACACTCCATTTGGTGGCTAAAAGAAATTCCATAATTTGTGAAATCTTAAACATTGACACCAAATGGCTGTGTTCTTTTTGGTAAGCTTGAACTTGAATCAACTCTGATTTTACAGGAACTCATTTTTGCTTTGACCTTTGGTGCTCCAGGAGCCTGTTTTGGCTAGTGTTTTTAAAAACGCTAGGCACTTACCTAGGCACCTACTTGAGCGAAGCGAGATGCACTAGAATATTAAAATATAAAAAAAACATATAATACAATTGATAAATATGATTATATAAATAAAAATATGTCATTAAATTAAATTTTTTGATGAATCTTCTGTATTACTTTGTACACTTGTCATTAATCCTGAGACCCTAATAACAGTTCTAAATAAATAGAGATTAACAGTGTTAAATAAGGACTAATAACAATTCTAAACAGTGATTAACAGTGCTAAATAAGCATTAGTAATTATAAATAGATCGATAGTTCTAAGAATTAATATCAGTTGTAGTTTATTATATAATAACAATAGTTTTAATATCAGTTAAGGAAGGATTAATAATCCGGTGTTAATAGCATTTAATCCACTGTTAACAATAGTCATAACGGTAAAAAATGAGTCACTGGTTGTTGAACATAGGGAAGGAGAGGGTAGCAGTGGCAGAGGAACCTTTAAATTGCGGCAGTGGCGGCGGAGGAAGCTATGGATGGTGGCAGTAGTGACAGAGAAAGCTACGGACTGTCACGAACAGTCGTCGCGCACTTGCAGCAACTTCGTTCAACGAACTGTTCGTCGCTTTTGCATGCTTGTACAAAGACATGGCAGCATGTTTTGCCTTGGTTTTGTGTGTTTTTTCTTAAAAAATATAAGCAACGACAGTTTGCAGCGTTGCAGTGCGACCGCTCGTCGCACCAGGCCAAACTGCCCCAAAATGGCTCCGTTTTCGCGTGCCACGACCTGTTTTTTACAGACCGCGGCCTCACGCGACACGCGAAAGCCATCTCAGCATCCTGGAACCCCTCGGGCGGCACTAAGGGGGATGGGGCTTCGGGGTAGCGTCGGGGGTTGAACAATCTTCACAAGTTCGCATGTTAACTTGACGGGAACTTGCCTTCGTGCCCGGCACCTAGCACCCAGTGAGCAGTTATTTGTGGACTTGCAACTGTTCGTTCAACCTTCTAAAGTCCTTGTTTTCTCCTTCCTCTCTTTTCTCTCTTGCACTCAAGGTGCTTGCTGAATTGCTTGTAATGCTTCCCTCTTCGCGAGACGTTGAGACTTGTCCGTCGCTCGTTTTCAGTCTAATTAACTTTCTGTTTTACAGGTCCTTCGGGACCTGTGCGAGGTTGCAACTAGGTTGACCCTTTGCGGACGCATATGTCGCAAGGGCACCTTATGACTTAGGCAATCCCAGCTAAATCTCAGGAGTTGGCGCAAGGGTGCTTCACGATTTAGGCAACTTTTGTTAAGTCCGTGACTTTGCTGCAAGGGTGCCTCACGACTTAGGCAATTCTAGCTAAGTTCATGACATTGTGGTATCAGAGCAGGCAAACAAATCGAGCTAGCAGCGAATAAACTTCGCAATCTCGCCATGGCAAAGCATCATGGCGAATCGAGCCAGACGGGGCAAGCCAGACCATTACCCCAATTAACTGCAAGTGGGCTACAAGTGCAAACTCGCTCTCATGCTGGTGGAGTCGCTCTGGAGGAGCGTGGCAGCGAACATGATGAGCGAGAAGTTGGCTACTCTCCACGAGAAGAGGAGACGCAATCTGGAGCGCCAACCGAGAAAAAGAGCCATAAGGAGAGACTCACAGCGGCGGAAACTCGCCTGGATGTTCTTGAAGCGAGCTTGGAGGAACTCTACCAAGGCTAACGAAGGCTTCTTGAGGTAGAGAGCTCGCAAGAAGAAGTCGAATCTCGATTCAACAAGGTTGAGGCCCTAGTCGATTGACTGACGGACGATACCAAAGACTCTGTGCAATATTTACACGAAGTCGTGGCGGAACTCACTTCCAGAGTAATGGCGCTCACAAGGGCACTAAATGAGGGAGGGAGCAACACTCACGTTGCACTGCCACAAAACTTGAGGGCACTTGAGTCTCATTGCTATGGAGGGGCTGGGGACACAAAACAGCTCGAGAATTTCTTGTTTGACATGGAACAGTACTTTCGAGCTACAAGGCCTGATTCTAAAGATACCAAAGTTTCAATAGCAACCATGTATCTGAATGAGGATGCAAAACTTTGGTGGCAAACCCGTTGGGAGAAGATCCAACAAGGTCGGTGTTAAGTGGACACATGGGAGGACTTGAAGCGGGAGTTGAGAACTCAGTTCCTACCCGAGAACATAGAGTTCGTCGCAAGGAGGAAGCTGAGACAACTCTACCAAAGTGCTTCCATTCGAGACTACGTAAAGCAGTTTTCTGCACTAATGCTGGACATTCAGGACATGTCCGAGAAGGATAAGTTGTTCAGCTTCCTCGATGGCCTAAAGCCATGGGCTCAACAAGAACTGCATCGAAGGAATGTCACCGAAGTGATCAGGGTAATTGCGGCAGTAGAAAGACTCACCGACTTTGTTTCCTCAGAGAACTTAGGGAAAAGGAAACAATCTTCAGAAAATCATCATCCAAAATATTCTCGAGGGAAGGAGCCCGGGGGCAAGCAAAGGAAGAAGAGTTCCTATAAAGGGCCAAGCTCAAAAGGCAAGGCCCCAAAACCTTGCGGATGCTTCTTGTGCGGAGGACCGCACATGGTGAGGGAGTGCCCACAGAAACAAGCACTCAATGCCTTAACAGCTTTAATCTACCCCCCTATATCGGACAAGGGTAAGGCCGTCGCTCTTAGCTCGAATAGTTCGGAATCCAGCAACGACGATGAGGAGTCGCAAAGACCCCTGATAGGAGCAATGTGTTTGTTGAATGCTTTGCTGGGTCAAGTGGGGGAGAACACGAAGACAAAGCCACATAAAGCAAGGAGCAATGAGCTGCTGTATGTGGACATCAAGCTCAATGGCCAAACAACCCATGCAATGGTGGACACGAGTGCTACCCACAACTTTATTGCCGATCGAGAAGCAAAGCGACTCAGGCTGATCTTGGAGAAGAACCCAAGTCGGATGAAGGCGGTGAACTCGGAGGCTAAGCAGATCTCCGGGTTGGCAAAGGGAGTCATTATCAAGATCGGAACATGGAGCGGGAGCACAAACATGATGGCAGTGCCACTGGACGACTTCCAAGTGATTCTCGGAATGGAGTTCATTCACGCGGCGAAGTTGGTGCCAATGCCATTCCTGAACTCCCTATGTCTGATGGGAGGTGACGACCCCTGCGTGGTTCCCGTCTCTCGAAGAGGAACCAAGGACCCCCAACAAATATCGGCATTATAACTGAAGAAAGACATACGAAAAGGAGAATTAACCTTCGTGGCTGTTGTGAAGCTTGAGCCACTTGACGGGGAGGCCATTCATGAACCTGCTATGGTGGCGAACGTTCTGAAGGAGTTCACAGACGTTATGCCACCCGAGTTGTCGAAAACTCTACCGCCACGCAGAGACGTGGATCATCATATCGAGCTGGAGCCGGGAGTGAAGCCTCCAACGAGACCACCATACCGCATGTCCCCTCCAGAGTTGGTAGAGCTCATAAAGCAGTTAGATGAACTATTAAGCGGTGGTCTCATTCGCAGTTCGAAAGCACCTTTCGGAGCTCCAATTCTCTTCTAAAAGAAGCAAGATGGGAGCCTCCGACTATGCGTCGACTATCGAGCCCTCAACAAGGCGACGATGAAGAACAAGTATCCCATCCTGCTCATCGCGGACTTGTTCGACCAATTGGGCAAAATAAAGTATTTCTCCAAATTCGACCTCCGGTCGGGGTACTGGTAGGTACACATTGTTGAAGGCGACAAAGTGAAGGCTACCTGCGTGACCAGGTACGTAGCGTTTGAGTTCTTGATGATGCCTTTCGGCTTAACTAACGCTTCGACCACATTCTGCTGAAACCATTTAGCTGATCGCAAGACAAAGCTACCCAACGGAGCTGAACATATCAAATACTTGGTGAAGTGGCGAAAGCTTATCCGGACCAAAGCCAATTGGGAGCCTGAAGATGCCTCAAAGCCTTCCAACATGCATCGATGAGGGCGTCAACAGCTTAAGTGGGGGAGAATGTCACGAACGGTCGTCGTGCACTTGCAACAACTTCGTTCAACAAACCGTTCGTCGCTTTTGCATGCTTGCACAGAGACATGACAGCATGTTTTGCCTTGATTTTGTATGTTTTTGTTTGAAAAATATAAGCAACGATAGTTTGCAGTGTTGCAGTGCGACCGCTCACCGCGCTAGGCCAAACTGCCCTAAAATGACTCTGTTTTCGCGTGCCACGGCCTGTTTTCTCCAAACTGTAGTCTCACACGAAACTCAGCCATCTTAGCACCTTGGAAACCCCCGGGTGGCACCAGGGGGGATGGGGCTTCGAGGTAGTGTCAGGCGTTGAACAATCTTCACAAGTTCGCACGTTAACTTGACGGGAACTTGCCTTCGCGCCAGCACCCGATGAGCAGTTGTTTGCGGACTTGCAACTGTTTGTTCAACCTTCTAATGTCCTTGTTTTCTCCTTCCTCTTTTTTTTCTCTTACACTCAAGGTGCTTGCTGAATTGCTTGTAAAACTTCTCTCTTCGCGAGACTTCGGGACTTATCCGTTGCTCGTTTTCAATCTAATCAACTTTCTGTTTTACAGGTCCTTCGGGACTTGTACAAGGTTGCAACTAGGTTGACCCTTTGCGAACGCATATGTCGCAAGGGTGCCTCATGACTTAGGCAATCCTAGCTAAGTCCGAGGAGTTGGCGCAAGAGTGCTTCACGACTTAGGCAACTCCAGCTAAGTCCGTGGCTTTGCCGCAATGGTGCCTCACGACTTAGGCAATTCCAGCTAAGTCCGTGATAGGACGGCGATAGTGGCGGCGAAGGAATCTGCGGATTGTGACGTCATGTGTCTATCAGTGATCGAGGAAGTTGTGGTCTTGTCCCTCGATGGCGGAAGGAGTTGTGCATGGAAGCAATGACGGCGAAGGGAATTGCACATGAAAACTACAATAGTGGGAGCTTCGAACTCATCCGTTGGCGATAGAGGAAGCGTTGGACCTGTGCATTAGCAATAGAGGCAGTGATAGGACTAAAGCGGCAAAGTACCTAGTGTTTATGGGTCGGGGGTCGCATGAGAGGTGGTTTACTGTTACTATTCATTGTGCTTAGTTGGTTCGATTAAACCAAGTTACTATCCAATCGAAACAGAGTTGACCATTTGGTTCGATTGCTCACCTTCAACCGGGTGCTTGTATGAGGTGCCCGGCGCCTGGACTGAAGCAAGTGCCTAGGCGGCACTTCACTAAAGCGCATTGCCCAACAACTGTGCAAGGTGCTCGGGCCTAGCCTCACCTTGCCCGACAACTATGTGAGGTGCTCAGGCCTAATCTCGCCTTACCTGAGCTCTTAGGCGAGTGCCCGGTTTTGGCCATGTTGTTGCTCATTGAACACAATCCATATAAAACAGCTTTTGAGCATGAAAAAATAAAAAAAATGTAAATTTGTCTATAGTACTTATTTTTTCTTTTGACTAAACTGACTCATGATTACATATTAATTTGTTTTTTGTGCTCTTATCGACAAGTCCCCTTGTCAGGCGATACATCAGTTTTTCTGTCCTATCACTTTTAGATAAACTTATATGTGATTTTCCATGAGATTTAGTCACAGCCTCAAATTTTTTTATTTTCTTTTGGTTTGGTAGCAAAGGCATGTATTTCTTGTGGAGGACTTGTCATTCATTTTGTTTGAATATGCCAGACTTGCACTCAATCGGCAGCTTAGTCCCTCTGTTTGGTTACCTGAAAACCTCCGATGCTGGTATTGGAGCAAAGGATGCAGATGTTGTAACTACCATTGTGCAAAACAATCCTCGAAGTCAGCAACTTGTAATGGAATCTCTCCTGTCAAATTTTACATCACATCCTGATTTAACAGTTCACACAGAAGCTCTTGGTGTGATATCCTGTGAGTATCCTTTCTTCGAGGCTGATATTTCTCTGCTTGATCTGTCTTGATAATTTGAAATGATCATTTTTGTGCCTACTAATGCAGCTTTGATTCAGAATAACCAGGCAGGAATTGCTGCATTCGATCTAGTGAATGGTTATGCGGTGCTCGGATATGCATTGTGTTCAGAGAGAGTTAAGGTCTCTTTTCTGAATCTCTCATATGTTGTCTTAGCCTGCTAGAGTAATGTTGCGTTGATGATCATTAAGAGTTTTGACATTTCAAACTCGCTTTGCTATGGTCCAACCGTGATTGCTAGTCCAACTCTTCTATGATTAATTACAATGCTGGGTGTGTGTGGATGACATCTTTGTGCTCTATTAACCTTTTTTGCTTGTCATCTTCCAGGAGGGTGCTTAACTTGGTGCAATCCTTGCTGCTTCAGGAGAACAATTCAGATTGCAGCATTGTGGTTTCCTCGGCTCATGTGCGAGAAGCAGTTGTAGGGTGTCATCTAGAGTTTGCTGGGGACAGGATGTCCTGTCACGGACTTAGCTGGTTTTGCCTAAGTCGTGCGACATCCTTGCGTGTTCGTCCGCAGAGGTCAGCCTCCCCGAAGTCTCTCATGTCCCTTAGGACCCACGAAAGAGAGAACGGGTTAGAGAAAACGTCTCAATCGGGATCCACAAGCAAACATCTCTGAAAAACACTTCATAGACAATGCAAATTACAAACAGACTTTACAAGCTCTGAACAGTTGCACAACAAAGGGTAAAATGGTCCATTACAGACCAAAAATCTCTCGCACGTGTCTACATGACACAACCTTTATTTACAAGCCTAAAGAGGCCACCGACCCAACTAAATTGGGACTATTAAGCTTTCAGTCATCCCTCTACATGCTGTACAAGGTATGAACATGCCAAAAGACACGGACATACATAAGCATTACATCAAACATCTTGTTTAGAAGTTTGTCCGTGACAGTCCGGTGGTAGCACTGTTGTAGCCAAAGAAAACAAACTGAAGGAAGTCTTTCAGCGACGTATCGAGGGTATCAGTGGCTGAAGATCTCGGAGCTGCCGAGGAGGAGCGGCAACTCGTGGGCTCCTTATGGAGCACACGTTACGGACCAACCATCATCGCTCCTAGAGAAGGGATCTTATGATGCTTCCAGGGGTTGAGCACACGTTACGGACCAACCATCATCGCTCTCAGAGAAGGGATCTTATGATGCTTCCAAGGGTGTAGGCCTGATGTGGCTGGCAGGCAAAATCTTCCAGCTGTTGTTTCGTGCCTGGCCAGCAAAGTAGCAACAAACAGGGGGATCAAGATCCGGTGACGATGGAAAGAAAGAAAGCAAGTCCGCTGCTGCGAACGAGAGTAGCATTGTATTCCAGCCACGAGTCAGGAGATGAAAGGGTCAGTCACGATCCCGTGAAAGAGAGTAGCAATGTATTTTAACGATGCTATCTCAATGGAGATAGCCCATCAACATATTTACTGCGTTGTATTTTAACGACGCTATCTCAATGGAGATAGCCCATCAACATATTTACGGAGATTCTTTGAACACGAAGTTTTCCTGATGCAGAGCTGATAATGATGAATAAGTGGAGGAACAATAACATAACAAGGGAAAAATGTTGATGATGTCTTGATCAGTCATACCTGTGTAGGAATGTTTTAGGTGTTTTTAAGATGAAAATATCATGTTTCGGAGGTGGATCCGAGATGACTTCGAGGTTGATCCAATGTGACTTTATGATAGATTTGAGATGGTTCCGAGGTGGATTTGAGGTAGATCCAAGATGGCTCCAAGATGTCGAACTCCCAAGGCTCCAAGGTGGATTCGAGAGAGGTTTCTCGACTCAATTTCTCTTACGCTCAAGTTAGTAATATGAGGTTTCCAAATGTGGGTTCGAGTAGTTCAAAAGGAGTGAGTCCTCTTCCCATTTTAAAATGTGTTTTATATCTTGAAGGAGTTAAAGCAAGTTTTTTTTCATTGTCATAAAAGAAGAGAATGAAGTTTAGGATTGTCTTCCTTGTCATAAAAGGAGATAAACAAGTTGGTGATTGTCTTTTGTGCCATAATGAATGAGAAAGAAGTTTATGTTTTTTTTTCCTTTGAATCTTTCTATACGTGAGCGGATAAAGGATGACTTGGATAACACATGGCGAAGGTATACTTCGGGGCTCTTGCAAGAGAGATATGAAGCACGTTGTTTGATTTTTTCCATTGTGGGAATATTTGGGGAATTTATTTTACAGATCAGGTTTTCTCATTTTATGTGTCTCAGGATCATTGGGCTTATACTTCTATCGTAACGATTTTTCCTTAGCAATGATTGGGTTTCTCGATTTTCACACTTCGGACACATTTGGCCTATGCTTTTGTTATGGCGGATCGATCGGGTTTCCCGATTCACACATCTTTGGTACATTCGACCTTACGCCTTTGTTGTAACATTTATTTCATTGTCGATCAGTTTTTTCTTACTCATACATCTCGAGTGATTTCAACCTTATTCCTCTACCGTAGCAGATTTATTTTGGTATCGATTGAGTTTTCTCGACTCATGCATTTCAGGCATATTCAACCTTATGCTTCCATCATAGCGGATTTATTTCGATGCCGGTCGAGTTTTCTCAACTTATGCATCTCATGTGCATTCAACTTTATGCCTCCGTAGTAGTGGATTTATTTCTCTGTCATCAGGTTTTCTCAACTTATGTATCTCGGGCATTTTTGGCTTTGTGTTTTTACCATAGCAGATTTATTTTGATGTCAATTAGGTTTTCTTGACTAACGCATATTGGGCGCATTTGGCCTTGTGCCTCCATCATAGCAAATCTCGAGTCTTTCCGTCATGGTGGGCTTCAAATCTTCTTCCACTATGGCAGATTTTATGTACGTTCTCTACCTAGTATATCTCAGGTCTTCCTATCGTGGCAGGCTTGAAATATTCTTTCTGTCATAGTAGATTTTATATCCCTTCTCCATCGTAGTGGATCTCGAGCCTTCTTGCCGTGAAAGGCTTCAAATCTTCTTTTCGCTATAGCAGATTTTACATCACTTTTCTATTGTAGTGGATCTCTGGTCTTCCCGTTGTGATAGGCTTCAAATCTTCTTCCTATCCGGTGGATTTCATGTCCCTTCTCTACCATAGCAAATCTCAAGTCTTCCTATTGTGGTGGATTTCGAGACATCCCTCTACTATGGTGGGTCTTCAAATTCTCCCTCCGCTATGGTGGATTTTAGGACCTCCCTACACTATGGCAGATTTTAGGTCCTCTCACTATAGCGGATCTTCAAATTCTCCCTCTATCATGGTGGATTTCAGGACCTCTCTCTGCTATGGCAAATTTTGGGTCCTCTCACTGTGGTGAGTCTTCAAATTCTCCCTCTGTCATGGCAGATTTCGGAACTCCCTCTGCCATGGTCATAATCGTAATAGATGTGGCGGTACTTGGATTTGTTCTATCTCTTTAACGATGTCTTCATCAGTTGAGGGTATTTCAAGAACTCTTTTCTCGTTTATTTTCTCATTTATTTATAAAAAGATTTTGATTTTAGTCATGTACAAGGGAGTATACTCGAACCTCAAGCAAGGCAACTCAGGTTAGATATTTCTTCTTCATCTCATGTTCTTCGCTAGGTCGATCATTTTTTTCTTCGTTGTGGTGACCTCGGGGTCGAGATGATGGTACTCACTCTTGTCTCGACCTTTTATGAATCTCCTTGTGCTTATTCGAGGTCATTGCCTCGACAACTATGTATTGGTTGAACCTTTGGAGGACCTCGGGTATAGTCACCGACAACCTCTCTACCAAAGACCATAAAATGAGAGAAGGCCTGAGCACTATCATGAAGGCTTGACTCACGAGTGATTAATAGGCTTCTTACACGCCTCGAATTTCATTGGTGAATCGAGCGACCAAGTTGGAGAGTATCTCTTCCTCCCTTTGCTTGAGTCCAAGCAACATTACCGCTAATAGTCTCGAGCATACATTCTCGAAGAAGTAGAGTTGGTATTACTGTCAAATGCGACAGTGTGTTCTCCCGGGTTGGTACTGCTGCCAAAGGCTTCCAATGATAGAATGCGAAAGTTGGTCGGGATTGGTTCCTCTTAGATATTCTGGATGAATGGGAATCAATCCAAGGTGGGATCGATTGGATTCTCCCTCCTGTACTATTGAAACTCTTGCCGTATCTCATCTAAGTATTGGTCCACTTTAGGGAGTCATTCATTGAATCCACCGATCGAGTCTTGAATTGGGGTGGAGTAGAGCAGTGGTGTGGTGAACTTAAGGAGTGAGGTGCTCCTTCAGCTGACAGTTCTGTGAACCTAGGCAATCATGAGATGCTGACATTGCTTAGTTAGGGGGATTCCAACGAGTGCTGGTGTCAGTGACGATTAAGGTGTTATCCATGGTTAAGATAATGACACCATTTGCTGGGTTAGCTAAAGTAGAAGCGGGGCAACAACTTGGAACATGCCCATAAGCGTCTACATCTAATGGGTGAGGTTCATGAATACCTCGATGAGAACAAGCAGGTGGCTCGAGTTTGTCCTTGAGGGTGAGGGGTCTAGGTCGTTAAACAAACACTAGTGCCCCATCAATGTCTGTGCCAAGGTTGATATATTCACATATGGGAAGGATGACAGTTGCCCCATGAGCAAAAGTGTTATGGGTTGGAGATGAGCCCTCCTCGCTGGAGCGTTTGTTGAGAGGGTTGATAGACAGATGTTCTTACGACATTGGGCCCTCATTGTAGCCCAAACCGTTAGGGGAAAATGTCATTGACGTCTTGGTCAATCTAATGTGGTTTAGACCCATGTGATTAAGAATGTCTGAGATGCCTCCAAGGTGAAAATATTGTGCTTCCGAGGTGGATTCGAGATGTCCCTGAGGTAGATTCGAGATGGATTTGAAATGGCACCGAGGTAAATCTGAGGTATATTCGAGATGGCTCCAAAGTGACTTTGAGATGGATTTGAAGTGTCGAGCTCTCGAGATACCACATGCACTAAGACCAAGGTTGAGAGAGATATCCTAACTTGATCCCTTTGATGCTCAATTTAATAATTTATAAATTTGAGTTGTTCAAGAGTAAATTATTTCTCATTGTTTTATTTAGGATATAATTTTATACCTCAAACAATGAAAAAAAATTATGATACCTTTTCTTATCATAAAAAAAATTATGTGACAACTATCATCGCGACCTGTGTCACCGCATAAACAACCCAATATCGTTTACATTTCGAGCAAAGCATATATACAGCCCAATCCTCTTCGGGTTCTCATGTGGTCAAACATTCCTGTTAGTTGCACCACAAATCCATCTCATTTTTAGACTCGCTGATTTAAAATGAAAATCCAACTCTTGGGCATCCTAAAAAATAAATAAATAAATATTTTTTTTCTCATGTAAAATTTAAAATATCATGTCGTATCGATATACTGATTAACTATTGATACGGTACATTCTGAATTATACCAAATTATACCGAATATATCAATACACGATACAGAAAAATATACCGATATATAATCGATTGATCTTTTATCATATCGATACATACCACTCATACTGAATAGTACGGTACGATAAACCATGCAGTTCAATGCAACTGTCAAATTCTGAGATCTAACATCTGTCGATTTGTCCCACCATTCCTCCAGAGGAAGAAACAAATTTACAAACGTTCAGACTGATTTAGCGCATCTTTACAAAGGAAAGAAACAGCAACTGACAGCGGGTTCGAATTTTCCTTAACATCGAGTCTCCCAGTGAAAATGTCACGTCCCAGAATCACAGCTCCAGCAATAAAAACTCAGCCCAAGCTTCCATTTGATATCACAGGATCTTGAAAGGGCTCCTCGTTAAGAAAAATCAAAAATCAAACTCCCCAGTGGCCTGCAAAGCAAGGTAGAGTTTACCAGATCAGGAACTCACAAGACTACAGCTCAAAGAAAAAACACTAACAAAATGTCTTGTAGAATGAGCAGTATTGATTTTCTATATATGAGAGAATTTTTTTTAAAAGGAAAACATCTATTTAGCTTGCATCATGCATGAAAATAGCAGAACCAAAAAAAAAAGAGTGAATTCAAGAGAAAGAACTAATAATGAAAATGATAGTTGAGATGTTCCCATGGAGTACTTGCAGAGAAAGCAAAAAACAAAATGTTTGCATCACATAGATATTATGCTTAACACTCCTTAAAACCAAACTTCATGCAAGTCCAAAGGGAGCATGACAGAGTGACTTAGGACATCACTCTCTGAATTGTTGTTGGTCATCAGCTTGTAAAAACCAAACTAGGTCTTAAGCAATATTGAATGCAAAAGGAGCTTCGCTAATTCCATACCAATAAGCATTACTTCAGGACAAAAGGTGAAATCTGATCTAAAAAGTTTGATATTCGCCAAAACCAAATTAGGAAGTAACAGCACTCAAAAACTAAAATCTTACTACAACCACCCTACATCTACTTACTCCCCAGTTTTGCCACTTTACTCATCAAAGCAGACATCATTTTTAACTTGCCGTTTCCAATGCAATTAAATGTACATAACAACATATGTTGAAAGAATTTCTTCTAAACATTTTCAAATATTACAGTTTCATTTGGCACATTATATTTACAGCTAAGGAAAACTGGTGATGCAACCATATAAAGACATAATAATATTTCCAAAATTTCCGATAACCTTTGTATGAATGTTCTTTCCAATTTCATGGATTTGTTCTCGGCAATCAGCATAATTAGACTAATATTTATACAAATCCACATCACACTAGCTACATTTATTGCCTAGTAACTTAAGAAAAGATATACTATGCCAGTAATTGAGAAGGGATCTCTTTTCTCCTTGACATTTAGTGCTTTAAATAAATCGATACTGACAAATACCGAAAGAAAAGAATCATTTATGGATGTTAACACCCATGTGAGCCAACTCAGTTACATTATGGGTGGAAGGTAAAATCTATTAATTACCTTCTGATAGCAACACTAAGAAATTATTCATCATACTTCTACAAAGTACACCATAATACTAGCTTCATTAGAATATAGTAGATCTGGCTTGGCCTACGAAAAAGGAAAAGAAAAAGAAAGCAATTATCAGCACAACAAAGCCACTGTCTCCCACAAAAGCACTTTTGCTACATATATTACATCACACAGATGTGGGATGTGGGATGTGGAATGACTTCCAGTTCATGATGTTCAAACTGCCATCTTGCAGTGATATAACAAGATCTTAAGCATTCTCAAACTTGAAATAAACAATCCAGCTTTGAAACATCAAAATTGCTTATGAACGCTAAATCCAGCTACCATGTACATCCCAATTTAATGAAAATTCAAGCATACAAGAATCATTAACACCAAGAAATATACATCCTCTTGAGTCATGAGACAATTTAATCACAAGCTTTTTGCCTAGCATCATGATAAAATCACCAAAGCAAACTACTTTCTGGACACTGTAGCTTACCGATCAATTTATATAACACTATAATCGATTGCAAACAAAAAGATCATGACAGATTTCCAATTTCATCAGCTTAATATCCAGTGTATACCTTGTTAAAAAGAATATCCCTATTGTTGAGATGCATTATTCCATCCTTGAGGGTGCATTTCCATCTGCTTTTTGTCCGAGTCACCTAATCCCGAGGCAACAATCAAGTGAAAAAGAAAAACATCAATTTCTTTTCATGTTACTACTGTGAAAAGGGCTACATATTAGAGCAAATACCTTGTCAAACAAGGCTAGAACCAAATGTTGGGTATTAGGCTCATCCTCTTCTTGGTCAAGATCATCCAACTCATCATCATCATCATCTTCATTAAGAGAAGGTTCATCATCTTCTGCTGCTTCATTTTTACCTGGTTTTGGTGTGCCAACAGATGGGGTAGCAGCGCGTAGTTCAACTGAAAATACAAAATGATGCAGAAAAGAAAGAGTTGGGGAAAAGCCTGAATACCATCCGTATATCAACTTCTACATTTGACACTATAGAATTACCATGATCTCCAGGTGTATTGTAGTCTTCACTGGCAACTCCTTGGAATTGAAATATCTTCACCAAAATTTTAAAAAAAAGAAGTAAAAATACAGGGAAATGGGCATTTTTAAATTAAAACTCTTCAAAAGTTTTATTGAGTACATCATCATAGTCATCATGTATTCCATCATGCTGAGGAAGCACTGGAGTTGGTTTTGCATCCTTATTGAAATAGAACTTGAAATTTGCAGTTCCTTGCCCATCCCTAATTGATGACTTCTGACCTTGGGCTACCGCATTCTGTAACCACAAAGAGAGAGATCAGATATTACCACACTAGCAGCAAAATGAATATAGAGAATTAACTGAAAGAATCTATATTATATAATTATTAGGTTCTGGTGCACATGATACAGGATAACACCTTGCTATTATATCACCACAATCTCTATTTTTTTACTCAGTCATGTGACTGTTGCACAGGTTCACCGTTTCCCATTGTCTATCAGATCGGTAAGCATCATAATATACCATATTACAGAGTAAGTATTGAAATAATAAGAAAAAAGAGAATGATCGGACTCTTGGCAAAAAGTCAACTACCATAAAAGACTGTAGGCAACCACCACAAATATACCTTTGATTTCCTTATATCTTATATTTTCTTAGCAAAACAATCAATAATGTAAGTATCTAATGCCAAATAAATCATTCTAAATCTCAATAGCCACTATACTGCATTTTACAGGATCATTAAATCGGTGTGTAAGAGTTAATGATCTCCAGTATTGGTCAGAGCTGCCCAGACCGGAACAATCTCAGCTGTTTGGTGCTGACCAATTTCCAAACATTTAAAAAATATTCAATGACACATCCAAAGTCAATCCTATGAACCCTGTCCTCAACCAAGGGTTTCAGTGCCAGCTTTTACTTTTAATTGTAATTTTCAAAATGGCTCATCTACAACAGTTCATGATTTCGTCAATTTCTGCATTAAAAGTGCAAACATGTGGTATATGTAGTAAGTTCATCCATAAGAAATAGAAATATGTTAAGATTTAAGATTTAGTTGACCTTGGTGCAACTTATAGTGGGTCACAGACTCATTTGTCTCACATGCTGTTGTCATTTCACTTGTTGTTCTATCATACATATCTTATATATATTAATACAGTAATAAGAACCCATGTTTCTTTTTTCTAAAATTCATCACATTATATTTCAGAGACTACATCATAAATTTTATGGGTCAATAAGACTCATGTGCAGAACTTTCTCCCCTTCATTAGGCTTTTTAGTTATCAAAGATTGGATGAAGACAATATAGACTATGGAAGATGTTTGTAACCAATCCCATAACATATCAAGTAATCAACCATTTAAGTTTGATACCTTGTGACATAAATACATCTTTTGTAAACATTAACACAGTAGCATAACATTATGATTTACATTGCCTTGAGGTCAGTGGTATCAGAGGCAGACAGTAAATTAACTGTTTGGCAATTCGACAATGCAGTTACCTGCGGCAGAGAAAGCTCTACTGTCACATCTCCACTTCCATCTTGCTGTGGTACATAACCTCCTGAATTTAAGCGAGAAGCATAGTCATCCCTTTTACGTTTTCCAGTGGAATTCACAAAAAAGTCCTGCTCTCACAGAAACAGCAGCTTCAAAACTAATATAATGAACCAGGGTAAGATGACAAGTTCAGTACTACAAGTAACATATAGCCAATGAGTGTTCCCTCAGAAAGTAATTTCTACAACTAATTTCTATAAACCCCGAAAACTGGCAATAAAATGACATGCAAGGAACAGAAGTACCTGAGTGGATTGATGCGAAGAGTCTCCAGCTTCTTCACGCCCTTCAACATAAGCTGACCACGATAACAAAGGAGACCACTTAGTCCAACCACAGTCAATAAAGCTTAGTAGTAATTACCACTACTAGTCCAACATGCACTCTAAGAAATATAGTGATAGTCCAACCACAGTCAATAAAGCTTAGTAGTAATTACCACTACTAGTCCAACATGCACTCTATGATATATAGTGACAATTAGCACCAGGACCATGCTTGATATTGGTAACTCCTTTATACTTACCTACATTAACGTCAACTCCAAGAGGTCTTTGGCTCATCCAAGGAGAAGGTGGTTGCTGTAACAATGAGGTAATACAAGTCAATGTGATTTCAATTCATATGCAATTTATGTCCATAACCAGCGCATGACTTACCACACTAAGTAAACGAGATATATTATAGGAAAACTAACTAAGATCGCCCATTTAATAAGTTATGTTGTCATACCGTGTACGGACTTGGCCTTCCAGCTTTCAAATCGATGCTATTTCTGATATCACTTATCGGAGACGGCGCGTAATCTGAGGCGCCTGTGGGTATGTTGTACATCGCAGTATCAGCCGTTCCAGGCAGAGGAGTCTGGATGGGAGTTTGCAAGGGAGTCTGCGAGAATAGCAAGTACACACAAATGGGAACGCTACAACACAATCCTATGCAAACAAACAAAGCGGTGCCCTCACAGGTGGAAAGAGCATCTCCGCGGTGGGGGTCTCATACTCCTCAGCCGGTCCCTCGTACGGAACGTTCAGATCATGAACCGGAGTGATCGGGGCCGCATTCTTCCGCAGGGAAGACCGCTCGACGTCGCTGAGCGCGCCGCACTGCATCATCTTCATCTCCCACAGCTGGGTTCGGTCCAAAAAAATCACAATAAGCCAATAATACTAAACTAACCGTCACCGACTTCCCAAAAAGTGACGGAAACCCTAGAAATGAAGCAGACTCAAGAAAGATCGAAAACATTATGAGGAAATCTCGAACCAAGAAACGGGAGAGGAAGAAATTACCGCCTGAAGCTCGTTCAGCACGCTTTCCCCAGCGCCGTAGTTTACGAACTCCTCGCGAACCTTGCTGATGACGTCGTCCACCACATGTATGTAGACGGCGGAGACGTTGGTCGTCATTCCCAGCGATCGATCGCCCTAGCCAGCCGCGTAGGGATCCCTGCAAGGAATCGAATAGCAGAGGGGGGATATGGGGGCGCTTAGAGCGGACTCGGGGTGTGTGGTCGGGGGTGCTCTCGTCCCGAGAGCTCAGCGAGCAGTGGAAGGGAGAGAGCAGAGAAGGTTCGATCTCGGACGGGAAAGCTGGGAATTAAACGAAGAATATAAATAGGTTTGCATCCGGAAAGGAGCAGCACCGCCACGTGTCAGAATCTGAGGCGCGTTGCGTTGATGGGAGAGGCCACGGGCAGCGAGACGGAGTAAAACCAACCCGACCGGCTTGGGCCGTATTGGCGAGTGCGTCAGGTCAGATCAAATCGAATTTAACTGAGCCAGATCAAACCAATCGAGCCAAATCTTGCGTTTTAATGGGAGATTTCGATGAAATTTACTACTAGAATTAAGCATATTAATGTGTCCACATGCAGAATCGAAGATGGATTTGCAATGTCATCAACTTAATACGACATATTAATAAAGGATGTTTTTGCCCCATTGTCGCAGATCTGAGAGAATAACGTATCATAAGAACAAGACAAAGCAATGTCTGTGGTTTCTTTGACCACGTGCAGAACCGCGTGGAACAAGTCAACAAAGAACAAAGGTGTAACTATCCGAGAAGAAGACGAAGGCATCGGATCATACTTGGAAGTATGGATAGTATTCACAAACGTAATCTAAAGGATGACAAGGGGAATTCGCAAACGCACTCCGCTGGTTGGAACTTCTCGAATTCAGGAATGTTCATACGAATTCCCGCGGAGCTGTTCATAAAGAACTCGATCTAACAAAAGAATCGTAGGTGTTTGCATCTGTAACTTGTGATCTTCTTGATGGAGCTTAAAACCTTAGAAGCTCACGACCCCGGTCGTCGTACCAGCACATGCAGCTCAACCCGACGAGCACCTCGACGATGGCGGCCTCGGTCTTCTCCCTGTCCGAGAAGTGCAAAGTCTGCAGCAGCAGCGCCCTCGGCCGGGTGTGGAACCGATGATGCCGCTCGATGTTACGCTCCTCCTGCCACCGCAGCGTGTCGTGTGCCACCGGCCCCAGCCAGGACAGGATCCTCCCTACCGCTTCCTTCCACCCCTCCGCCAGCGACCCGTCCACCGTCCCGCCCTCCCTCCTCCAGCACTCTCTCAGCTTGGCCCGCACCGAGGCCCGCATCGCCGACGGCATCATGTGGTACAGCTCCTCCCTCGCCGCCGCGTACTCCTCCACCACCTCGTCGTTTTGTGCCGCGTGGCCCTCGACCGACCTCGTTATGAGTATCTTCTCCGCGGCCACGATCACATTGGCGTACCGCGACACCAATCCCGAGCCGCCAACGGTGCTCGGACCTGCTTGCAACAAACTGCTCAAACTCTCGAATGGCTTTGCGAGCGATTCGTTGGTCATGAACATGGGAGCTGAATTCCTCAAGACGGGCACATCCATCTTCGACGGTTGCTCCAGGGGCCCCGACGAGTGTTTGCCGAGGAAATCTGGGCTACCCCGGAGCATCAGAGTCGGACGGCTTCTGTCCGGTAGAGGAGGCAAGCCGAGGACGCAGGGACCGAAGACAGCGGAGATCCTGGCGAAGACAGTGATCACCGCGCGGACCATGAAATCCACCGCCTCATCGAAGGTCTTGTTCCAAAGGGAAATCTTCTTGAGCCGCCGGACCTTGTGACGCTGGGACCGGAGCTCGAGCTGGATGGGGGAAGGTGCGGGCGACACACCCAGCTTCTGCACCGGGATCGGGCCGCTGTGCCGCCGCCACTGCTGCTCCATCCGCCGCTCCGACGCCTCCAGCGCGTTCAGCGCCTCCATCTCCGCGTACAGCAGGGAGGTCGCCGCCACGTACCTCTCCATCCTCTTGACTCGCTTCTCGACCCCCTTCGCGGTGGAGCCCAACCCGAACCTCTCCAATTCGGCGACGCGGCCACCCCTGAGAACGGGGCAGGCCACGCCGGCCTTGAGGCCATCGTATATGCGATCAAAGCCCCGGAGGAGGGGATCTTGGCACTTGGCAGCAATGCGGGAAACGGCGGCGGCGGCCTTGTCGAGCTCGGCCACCAGCTCGGCGCAGGCGAGGCGGAGGAGGAAGGCCTGGTCCTTGGAAGTTAGATAAGCGACGCCCTGGGACCGCATATCGGTGCGGAGCCGGCGGACCTCGTCCTCGGCGAGGGAGCGGTGCAGGGAGACGAAGCGCGACATGACGGCCGCCACCTCGAAGGCGAGGATCCCGACAACGGGCCGCTCGGGGTCGATGCTGCCCACTCGGGCCCGGAGATCCGCGAGCACCTTCGGAACACCCATGTAGCAGAGCAAGGAATGGAAGAAGCAAAACCACAACACGAGGCGGACTGCTTTGCTGCTGTTCGACTCTCAAAAGAATGCCTCTAACTATGGGTGGGATTGAATCTATTGATGGCAATGTCTCAATATATGAGGGAGGAAGGTGGCGAGGGGATGGATATGGCCATTTCTGACTTCCGAGGACTTTCTCTCCTCGCGGACGCGGTTGCGCGATATCAGACGGAATCGCAGCTATGGAAACGCATAAAATATAATGACATCAATCAATCACGTCCAAGTCATGGAGGGAGACGACGGCGTAGAAGGCGCTGGGTGAGGCCAACGCGTACAACAGTAGCATGCATCCAAAAGTGCACCCTTCCCCGATGTATCCCGTGATGAGAATAATAATGACGATAAAACTCTAATTTAACGTCAGTCACCCTGATGATATCTCGTACCTCGATTGATCTAATAGCACCGGATCAAACAGATCGGAATACCGGTCGAGGTACATTAACATCCTACTCAGACTCGGTCCTTCACGCCACGTCAATACTGCTATCAGACGTTACCAGGAATACGATCCTGATCCCTGCAAACGTGCATATCAGGCAACAACAACCTTTACTATAAAAACCCCTACGCTCCGAGGAAACGAAGGAGAGAAAAAAAAAACTCCCTAAGACTATCTACTGACTCGACCGTCAGAGGGGTCGGGTCGAGCCTCCCGACCCAACCTGTGTGCAGATGCAAAGACGGAGCGCATCCTACCGCACGTCCGATCGCGGAGTTCCTCCTAAGTGAAAACAACGACCGTTCCATCCCGATCGGACCACCGAAGGCGGCCACCTCAGCAGTCTCAAGGGTCGTCCCAGGAAGATCCCCAATCACTCGGACTCGAACCCAACCGTGTCGGGCCCGAGACCACGGCTTAAGGTTGTTTACACAAACATCCTGTGTCCGTGAATTGCGCCTTACATCAAGCACGCACCGAGACATGTCTCATGGGAAGGCTCTTTTGGGAAGAATATGAACACCTTATTAGGTAATGATGGAGACGTTAAAGGATGCTTGGTCAACGGATTCGGTAGCTGTTCATTCCAAGGGCGATTCCACACCTCGAGATGGCTGAGCCAACGCAGGCAGGAGCAGAGGTTGGGACGAAGCTGCGGCCTTCGAGAAAGTAGCGTGTGCGTTGGGTCGTCGGCGTCTAAACTCTCGGTGACATGGCTGAGCCAACGCAGGCAGGAGCAGAGGTTGGGACGAAGCTGCGGCCTTCGAGAAAGTAGCGTGTGCGTTTGGGTCGTCGGCGTCTAAACTCTCGGTGACATGGCTGAGCCAACGCAGGCAGGAGCAGAGGTTGGGACGAAGCTGCGGCCTTTTAGAAAGTAACGTGTGCGTTGGGTCGTCTAAACGCTCAGCGTACGTCCGGTCCGTTTCAGTTGTTTACTGTGTCTTCTTTGGACTGGTAACGTTGACCAGGAAGGTCAAAGGGAGATGTCGGTTGACATGGCTCGGTCGAAACATCAAACACTTCTGTGATGAGCCAGAAACGGGTCCTTGCCTTGAAATGGTCCAACGCGTATTATCCAAATCAAATGGCATCGACCTACTCGTGGGCCAGTCCACTAAGAAAGCCCGTGGGATCGACGTCGAGATTGGTCGAGGCAACAATATTTACGGAAAGATTTTGACTCCAATCCGCTGACCGGAGCTAGTTTGACTTTGACTGCATGGTTTGTAATAGAATGGTGGTGGTGACTAAAGCTCGAGTTCGGTGCCTCGAGGATGAAAAAGCGCGCAGATGAAACGAAAACATTCGATTACATGCAATAGTGTACATCAAAGTTCGTGAGATCCGATCCTGCAGAAGAGATGAAACAGGCACTGAGTTCTCATTCCACTTCTCGGGCGGCGTAGTGTCGGCCGAAGAGTTCTACCAATAGGAGAGCGGCGGACGAGAACTCGCCAAAGCCCATGCGCCGAACACATCTTGCTTGCCATGGCGCAGCAGATCGGTTGGGAGCGACATGGACGACGGATCCGCAGCTGAGAAGCTGTCATCGCTCGCGCCGTTGCCTCCTTTACTTTGCTCTGTCCCTACCGGCTGCTCGTCGTCAGGGAGAGGCAGCCGCTCGTAGATAACGTTTGCGAACGTGGCTGCTATTATCACCACCGGTCCCGAGGCCACCAACTCCCCCACCACGCTCCCGCCCACCACCCGGCCCTGCCCCCTGGCCAGGTACGCTGACAGGCTGGTGGCGCCCGACGGCGCTGGTGCCGGGAGGAATGCCCCCGAAAGAGAGAGGATCTGGAACCTGCCAGGGAGCGCCACCACGGATCCCGGCGGCGCGTCCGGCTGTCGGAGCTTCACGTCGGTGACGGCGCCCCTGGCGCTGAGGATCGCGACCCCGCGCCGGCGCCGGAGGGCGAAGGTGGCGATCGTGTCCATGATGCCGGCCCCGCTGCCGACCTCGAAGACGTGGGAGCGGAGCGCGTTGGGGCTCTCGCGCGTGACGATGACGGGCGGCTTCGACTTGTTCTTGGACCCGCGCGGCCGGCCACGTGGGCGCCGCCCGGAGCTGCAGCCGCCGGAGCCGGCTTCAACGAAGTCGTCGGCGCTGGAGGAGCGGTCGTCGCCGTTAGCATCGTCTTCGGAGTGGTTCCTCTTCTTCTTGTTGTCGTCAACTTGATCATGGAGGAGGCTGAGATGGGATTTGGGGTTGAGGAGATGGAAGGAAGGGGCGAAGGTGGTGGTGGTGTCGACTCCTCCCATCACCGCACTCCCGGCCTACCGCCCTTTTGCCAGCTCTCTCAGACCCTTGCTACTCTTCCAGCAGATATAGAGACAGGACTCTCTCTCTTTCTCTCTC